TACAATCAACTGAAAGAAACAAAAAGAGTAATTTGCAGAAAAAGAGAGAGAGAGAGAGATAATATTTTTCTACAATTTTTAGTGAATAACTTTTAAACGAGTAAGTGAATCTAAATCAAGTTTTGCACAAATATTTATTAGGGTTTTCTTAATATATGTGAACATTTTAATTTTTTTAGCAATGTATTTTCTTTGTCAAATTTGTCAATAAGTGCTACAATACAATTTTTCATAAGTATCAACTTTAAACTTAAATAATTTCCAAGCCGTTAAATGAATTGTGCTCAGATTTTGCACAGATATTCAGAAGAAATAGTAGGACAGTCTATGAAATTTTCATACTTTTGTCAATTTTGTGACACTTACATCCTTAAACAGAAAGATATGAGATCAATATTGTGTCTTAATAAATAATTATTATTTACATTGTATACTAATATATTTTATTGTTTATATCAAACAGAAATATATCTTGATATAGCTTGTAATTTCATTTAATGCGGAGAAATTTTATCACATTTCTTTTCCACTAGTAAGATATGAATGACGAGGAATTTAAGGATTTCCGTCCCAGGATCAATCCCATTTACGGAACGATGACATCAACGGCTGAGGAAAGCTCTGAACGACTTCATTCAGTGAATTGGCCATTAACGAAACACTGACGTTGTTCTCTCGCGCAACGTTTTACAGTCCGCTGCGACGATTTTTCTCGGGTTTTTCTAACGATTGGTGTGCGCGGCCGATGCACTTCTCGCGTGTATTCGACGTGGACCGACCTAATTGCCGTCATTGTTCAAAGACGGCGCCGCTAATTGCGAGGCCAACGACGTTATTTTTCCGCAGTTATACTAACGCTATTGCGGAGAAAGCAGACTGAAAGAGAGAGAGAGAGAGAGAGAGAGAGAAAGAAAAAAAGATGGCTCTCTTTCTTTTCACTTCGTCTGCGCGAGGTTCAATTTTAATTATATTCCGCCCATTATGCATTCCGAGCATGGCCAGCGCGGGACAGGGTAACGCAAACTTGTGCCATTAATCAAGATTCGTTTCTTGAAAGAAGGATGCGAGCGGATTCAGTTCTTTCCTTGTCCTAAGTTTCCTCCTTCGATTTTTCGCAATCGAATCGAGACACGCTTCTAGAAGTATCTCTTCATTAAAAATATTTTTTATTATACTTAT